AGGGATTTCTCAGAATAACACACAACTAAAAGACAAAAGCGATATCAAACTCATATAAATTAACATTGCAAATGATCTGAAAAATACAATAAATAACATGATTCTATCACTCTGAATATGCTATACAGGGAAGTGTGTCCAACACAAATACATTCATTAATCTCTTATATCCTCACTAAACTTTTTCAGGAAACTTTCCTTCCATTTACTTTCTGCAGTTCAATTGAAGGTCATCCTATGCACAGAGAAAGTGGGCTGGTGTCTAAATAGAGAAATCTGTCATCTTTCCTGAAATAAATTTACAAAACCGGATTAATTTCACTTGTTTCTCCCTCTGAGGCAGAAAAGAATTTGACAGTGTTTAGTGCCTCCTCTGAAAGCCAAAACAACATACACTAATGGATCCTTTTATTCGATTTTGTAGGTCCTCATGGAAACGTGTAAAGATATCATTTACAAGGGATCTTTTTTCAATCTAGTATAGTAGATAGCTACAGTGCATGTGTGTGTGCACATGTGTGTTTATAATTACTGTAGATTGGATGCAAATTTAAATGAGATGGCAGCTGTGTAGGTGAAATGATCTTTAATCTTTGCAGCTTTTGCAAAATAATTTTGGAGCTAAATTATTTGTATAATCCTTTTACTTGGAAAATACAACGTAGAACATGCCCATCTTACAACTCATATGCTATATTTATGGGAAGGCTTTCTTAGAAGCACCCAAGCCTATTATTTATGAAATGTGAAAAATATTCTTGTGACATGAGTTTTTCTTTCTTTTAATTTCTCAAGTTCATCCCTTCAGTATCCTCGTTCTGCTTTTCTGAAGTAGAGAAATCTCTGATGATAATCCTACAAACTAACATGACAATTTTAAAATTAGCCTGTGTAGTTTCACTCCCTTCATGCAGGCTTTCCCTGTGGGAGAAGGGAGGAAAACTGCCAGAGAAAGGCAGTAGCCCTATGCTGAAACAGTGAGTTGCACAGGGTGGCATAGTCATGCGCCCCTTGTAGCGTGGCTGATTTTGTCACAGCTCAAGCTTTTTTATCTTTCTCTAAAAAGACGTATCCAGGGTTTGATTTCATACTGCTCACATAAGCTTTTCAGGAGTAACTCTAGTGGAAGCAAAAGAGTTACGACTGCAAGGTGAGAGGAAAATCAGATTCTGCCTCCCTTGTTCTGCTACTGTTTATGTACCTTGCTATATATGAATAAGTGTTTCACATGCCTTGAAGAAACTATTCATTAATAGCTTTTTTGCAGGAAAGGTGCTTCAGGTACTTTAAATTCCTTTAATATTAAAAACACCAGCCATGTGTGTAGCAAATTGTGGGTCATTATGTTTATATTAAGTTTATGCCAGCACGCAGAACAACATTCCAAACCAATTTTGTTTCTTCACCTCAGATGAAAAGTAATTCCAAAAAAAAATTTATTACTGTTGTTTTCCTAATGTCTTACACAGAATTTATAGTATCTTTGACTGTCTTCTATGTTTTGGCCAGTCTCTACTTACATGCAGCACTATTAAAAAAAAAAAAAAATTAGACACACAGATCTACATGTTAAGTTACATCTGGAGACTACCTTAAGGCCATGAAGGCTAACACATTCCGTTACCAATTAAAAACTGGCTTGTTGTACTGAAATATTAAAATGGGTGATTTTGTACCCCTTATTTATTGAAAAGCCTGGATGTAATTAGGTGAGTTAGAGACAGAATGTTTGTCCTAAGTATGAATGCTCTGATTTTTGTTGCTTAAAGTAACAATTTAATTGATAAAAATCGGCTCATGAAATTTTGTTTCATAAACTCAGTAATTACAACAAAGAAGCATCACAGAAAACGCCTCAGTTATCCATTTGAGAAAAGCATGCTGGTGTGGATTTGCTGTTAGTTTTATTAGTAGGACTCTAAGGGATAGTTCAACTGGTTGCGTTAGAGGCTTTGTGTTTTCTCTTTCTCCTGACTTTCAGCTCCTGGAACGCTCTGATGAGGCACTTATTGTACCGTGTGTAAAATAACTCTCCTGCAATCTCTTACGGTCATAATGACCCAAGTTCTGTCTTGGAGAAAAATAGAAATGCTTGTCATTTTGTCTGTTTAGCCAAGTTTGTGCAGGTGATGGCTGCCATTAAAAAAATTGTTCAATATCGACTTTAATGTTTGGTAAACTGTAAAAATTAGAAGATTAATTCAGATTGGATATGCATAAAACCCCTGTTGTTATCTGAGATTATCCACTGTTTCTGTAGGGCTCCCACTTCTTCTTTTCTGCCATTCTCAATTTCCCTAAGGATGGAGGGGGGCAGGCCACATTTGAAATACATGTATGATAAAGTTATTAATTTGGTTCCTGATTATTTTATCCACTATGATGCTTACAGTAAGCAGAGTTTTCCTCCACAAGAGCTGACCTACCATATAATATTTTAAATTTCAATTTTTCTTTTTTTAAAGACAGTTTTCCTTTCTTCCAAATTGAGTTAGGCTTTTGGTGAATAGAGGGCTTAGATTCCCTTGCTGGTGTGTTTGTAGTCCAGGAAAGAGACGGAAATACCTGTGAAAAAGATAGAAAAGGTATTTAAAATCAATAGGAAAAGTGAGGCAAAAGGGGCAGAAACGTGCAAAAAAAGGTTTAAGTGTATGATAAAAATGAATGAAACTTTAACATCTCTGTGATTCACCCACATATGAAGTTACTTTAATTTCGATCTCTGTCTCAGCTTCCCTATTTGCATATAATCTTGCATTATCTTTGCCTCTAGAAGGATGTTCTCTGCTGTATGGCATTAAAAATATATATTTCTGCTTCAGTATCATAGAGGAGAAAGAAGGAGGAGGAGAAAACTTGAATAAGAAAAAAAAATGGGGGAGTGTGAAATAAAAATTAGAAGAACTGAGAGCGTAGAGCTGTTTTCTTGGGAAATGGTGTGAGATAAAAAGAAAAGGCTCACAGAGAAAAAAAGTTGAAAGGGAACTGCATGATGGAAAGTGTTAAAGAAGAGGTGGAGAAGCAGGACAAAATCATTAAAAAAAAGGAGGGAGGGGGACATAATCGGACACAAGTGTAGAAGAGAGAGGAAAGAGATGAAATTAATATGGGCCAAAGAAGGAAAGAAGTGAAAAGGAAGGAAATAAAGTGAAATTGCTTCTGAATGTTTTGTTCATTTGTAATACTTGCCTGGAAATGGGAAGGGAGCCCGAATATAGAATTCTTGCTTGAGGTGTAACACGACGGAGGGGGAATAATAATATAGTTCTCCATATCCATGTCTGGCAGTAAGTTCCTAAGGCCGGTTGTAGTTGAAATGTGTTGTAGACAGGGAATAACAGCACTTTTTCTCATTCCGTCACTGGAGTGTTTAGTTCTGAACTGATTGCAAGGGTTTCAAGCCAAATCCCCCTCAAAGAAACAAGTGACCCTTTCATAAAACCTTAAAGTTCAACCTGCATAGTGCGGTTGCACCAGGATATTTAAAACAAACATTGCAGTGTATCTCGTAGATGCACATCTGAGAGAAAGAGGAAGAGACAATTATAGTATATAAACATTCACACCATTCTTTATACAGCAGAGCATCACAGAAACATATTTTAATATAAAAACTAATTATTTCGGTCTCTTAGCTTTTGCCAGTTCCACATCCCATGTCAGTTACTTGCATCCAAAGCAATATCTTGTTTCCAAGGACACAGAATTTTCTTTGTTCTTTGCTGGGAATTTCTGTATAGGAGGGATTTCCAGTAGAAGGTATGAGTTTCCTTCTTATTAAAATGTGAAGATTTGTACATATAGCGGGCATGATTTCAGTGCTAGTGAAGAAACTCCTAGTATTCCAGGGCATGCTGAAAAGTTAATTTACTTAGCTAGTGTAGAAATCTCTACTGTTATCAAAGATATTTTTGCTGGAAAAAAATTCTCTCTTTTCGTAGTGAACCTCCTGCCTGATAGGGTAGTGGGGTCATAAGCCAGACTATCTGACATTGCTGTGGAAATGACTGGGCTCACAAATAACAACTTTTTTGACCTCACTGCAGGATCAGGTGGGATCGACTGATGGAATTGTTTAAGCTGTTGCTTAGTCATATGTAATACAGTGTGCTTGTGTGGTATGAGCGATTGTGTCCGTTGTACTGCAAATTAATACATTAGAAGTGTAGACAAATATTGCTAAAGATTTTCTGCGGTATGATTATCTTCCCCTGAGAAGGAGCAGCTCTGCTTTAAAAAGAGGCTTCCATCAAAAACATGAAATCCTTGACACAATATCTTGCTTTTTACTCTGTCCCATTGTATTCCTTATCTGCTCCTACATCAGGTAATCTAAAAATACAGTTTGTTGACTCCGATACCATAGCAGTTTTATTTATATGAAGAATTCACATAGACTTTTCTGGCCTTAACTACTATGTGTAACTGAGTACACACATCTACCTAGATTGTTGTCTTACTCTACGTTTTCTCTACTTTTTTTGTTGTTGTTTTTATATCAAGCTTCCTTTTCTCCTACTAGTTTAAAAGAGTTGACAAATTGAGTATTATTAACCTTACTTGGGCTCCAAATTGTTCTCATTACTAGGCTTTTGTTTCTGCATTAGCTATGGCGTTCATAATGTTCCTAATGTCCAAGGTACTTTTTATGAATTTCTCTCTGTTTTGAATGTGATTGATTGAGCAGCATACGTCCTGGTTCCACACTAGCTCTCTGGGTGAAATCAGGAGTCATTTTTCTTGGCTTTGACTCCACATGAGTCTGACTCTGATGAAAGTTCTGCTCACTGCACCTCCATGCCTTCCCATAGTGGTCTCTATCACTGGGCACTAATGCTGTGGGTAGCTTTTAGATACCTTTTAAAAATCTTTAAATGGATGCTCCATTAAATTAATACCCCTACAGAGAGCAGATTGCTCTCATGATGTATTCATGCTGAACTAAGCTGCTACCTGCACTCTCTCTCTTTTTTTTTTTTTTTTCTCTTTTCTTCCTCCAGTAGATGAATAGTGTGGTAAATAGGACTGGATAACAGGTGAAGACTCTCACACCAGAGTAAGAATGGCTTAAGAATGGCATGTCTGGTGAATGATTTTCTCCCAAAAGTTGGCCATCTAGAGGATAACGATCAAACATCACCACAGAATCCAGCAGTATTGATGATTCTCACTTGTATGTATGATCAAGGTAAGATCATCCACCACTGGTTCTTCATCAATTTGCTTAAGCTGATTGGTAGTGTTGGAGAACAGCAGCAGCTGACAGGCACTGTTACAGAGTATTTTTCCACTATCTTTATTGAAGAGGAGGAAGCATGCTGGATAGAAATTTGCAATGTAGTTAAATATGTAAAATCATAATTTTAAAAATATCAATTGACCATCGGCTTTTCAAAGTGACTTTGAAACATAGCTTGATCTTTCTCCTTTTTTGCGTTGCAATTTACAGCTGTATAAAGTGCAATGTGAATATAAAATACAGCTTTTATTAAAAGCATTTTTGTCAATCTCTAGTGCCATGAAGAAAGCAAGAGGAATGTGTAACATGTATCTTGTAAGGTTATTCCATAAGCCATGGTCATCTAAAAGCTGCTGTTCACATCTCCTGATGGGAGAGAGGTAAATAGATGAAGACTTTCCTAAGAGGGTTGTGCACTTACTTGTAAGGCAAATTAGTATATTGCAGTAACAGTTACAGGCTTCATTAATGTTTTGGTTTTGACTACCAGCCTTATCCCCTTGTCAATTGGGATGAGAGAAGTTTCTGGCATAAATAGAGAGAAATCTATTTCTCAGAAGTTTTCTGTGAAAAATCTTACTTTCCAGGTTTTCAATGAGGGATAGTTAGAACAAATAGAAAGTAAATCACCTTTCTAAAGCACCCCCCCCTAAAATCTGAGCTTGCTTATAAATTACTGACAGTTCCCTGTACAAAAGCACCACAAATGTCAGGTTCCCAAAGTACTAGGAAACTGCAAGATTAGGTGTCATGCTAAAGAAACTGAAGTAAGCAAAACAAAGTAATCACTACTTGTTTTTAAAATAATAATTATATATTTTTTGTTATTGGGTCTTCATCACAGTGCTGGAAATATATATATTTTTCCAGTTGATTTCTTCCTTTCCAGTCATTCTCTGATTTTTTAACAGCTTTTAAGTGATGATATCAATGCTGCTGTAGAAATATCAGACATTGATGTGAATTGCATTGGACAGTGTGTGTATGTTTTGGGAAAGATGAACTAAGATTTAAATTTTTATTTTAAGGGAATCTAATGGATAGCTGGTGCTATTTCATATGTAACCATTACAGGTAATGCAGCCCTGATAGTAACACTGAGATTGTAGTTATATTAGTAGCTGATATATTGTAAGTGATAATAGGTGCCAGCTGTGGATTTCTAAGACTGATACCAAAGCAGTTTTGAGTACATCCTAATACATTATTTCCAGAGTTTCGTTAGACAAATTATAGTAACCCATGGCATGTACTAAAAAGATAATTTCATTCAGATGGTCATTGTACTTTAATTAGCTATTTTCTGTTTTCTCCTCTAGTATCTTACCGTAAACATTCTTACCAACATATCAGCCTCAACCCTGGGTGCATCCTTCATTTTGGATATGACTGTTAGTGCATGCAGAGTGCTGAAGTTAAGACACTGGATGTTCAACTACCTGGCAGAAGACACTGGAGCAGGGAAATCAGGGGCAAAGTTTAACTTCCTGTTGAAAATGTGCCTGTTAAAAACAGAATCCTGTGACAAAACTATGGTAAATGAACATTTTAACAACATTTTTTTGGTGAGCACATACAGCCACAAAGGCCTGAGAAGAGAAAGCACAGTATTAAACTTGAGGAAGTGTTACCTTCCACCTGAAAGAGGCCATATTGAGCATAGGAAGAAAGCACACTTAGTTTACAGCAAGCATGGAGTAAACACTACTCCAAGATAATTCACCGAAGTAAAGTTGTCTGTGTTTGCCTCCTCCAGATAACACAGAGGGAGCTTGTGTGTATGAGCAAAACAAACAGTAAAGCTCTGCTTAATCTTACTCATTGCTGCATTAAAATCAGGGTCTAAACTCCAAAACCCAAAGATGCAGAGACACATGCCAAATATGCACTAAATCAAGCGCATATTTAAATATTTTAGTGTTTTGTGCATTGTATAGTGTTGTTGTAGAGAAACAGGAAATTATAGTGAGACAGTTTGGGCAGAAATCTGTCTTCATTAATCATGAACATATAGCACAATATAGCTCTGAGCTATGCATGCCATACTGTAGAGGTTCAGAGGGGCCACAGCACACTCACAATCCTTGCCTCTGCATTAATTCCTGCAAGGGCTCCTTGAAAGTGCACACAGCTGCAGCATATCTACCCACCTTTCTGTGACCTAGTGCCCCTGACAAAAATTTTGGGAATATCACGTTCACTCCCCACACAGGTTATGGGTTGGCCTTGTGTAGATCTACAAGTAGATGGACGGGAAAAAAACTTGCTGTACCCTCCTTTTCCCTCCACTGAGTCATTGACAGTATGGAAGGCTTCTAGTTTCTCTGTAGAGAAGTGGGTCTGTTTTAGCACCTTTCCTGGCAGCTGTCACTCCTCCTTAGAGGGTCTGGTTATTCCATCACAAACAGCGATATTTCAGTCACATTAGTTTAACTGGGTTAACTAACTTTAAAACAGGTTTCAAGACGTGTTTCTGATTCCTCCTGAACTCACGGCTGTCCTTGTTTTGAAACATTTTTTTTGACCGAGACCTGAGCAGATTACTAATTGCCTCTTTGTCGTGCTTTTACCTGCTCACAAGCTTTGAAGGAGGAAAAGCAACTATGCTGTCCTGTCATAATGCATTTTCTGTGTCTGTTTTTGAGCTGTCATCATCTTAATGAAGCCATTATTGCTGGAGTTAAACAAACTAGTTTTAACTGCAATCTTTTTTTCGTATTTTACCCACAAGCAATTGGCTGGATGACTCTTTCCAGATTGTACTTTCTGTATTCAGCTGCAGAGAAACACGATTGTCTTTCTGCTGTGTTTACTCGAGCATCAATGCTTTATATTGTTCGTTGTGGTATTATATTTGATGCAGAGTACTTTGAACCATCTCTCATATAACCAGAATTCCAGTGCTTTGAATTTTATTTTACATCTGATTAAAAATTTGATATCTTCAAGAGGATAATTTAAAAATATTTGCCATGTTTTGCCAGCAACTTGCTAGTACGTATTTATCTTGTGCTGCAAGAGTCAATACTAGCAGGACAAAATGATGTTGGCAAGATATGTCCTTATACAAAATATTGGAAGGATATTTTTGGCTCTTCTTTATGAATGGTTTGATAGGAAGGTGTCCTACATGGATGTGACATGTTTGCACAGAAGCACGTTCTCCACGACTGTTAAACCATCAAAACAGACCAGTAACGGAAATCTCGAGACTATGACCTTCTCTTAGCCTCTGACTAGCCCTCAAGTATGCTACTTTTGAATACTTGTTCTGCATCTTTACAAGTTTCTGATATCAGTTTCAAAATTTGTCAGAAAGATGCAACGAATTTTAGTAAAGTGCACTTGTACTCTGTATCGTGATCCACTTTATTTTCTACACTGGTAAATGTGACTTAAGTGGTATAACTACCATGTTTCAGCACATGGTTTAAATTAAAGTGGTGTTTCCGTTATCTAATTCCGATGTTTGTTTTTTAATGGCTGCTCTAGTCAAATAGTTCTAGGAATGTTTTCTAAAGTTCTGTACTCAGCAATGAAAGTATTTTAAATTATTTACTTCGATAAAATAGTAAAAGCTTTTGTGCTCAAACATGATATACAGATTTTCTAACCCAGTCTTCTTTGTTTTGCCACGTGAAGAGCACTGAATAAACGCAAACTGTTTGTTCCATCTCAGCTAATGAATAATTCCTGCAGGATGAGCAATTTCCGAAGAGACATCCAGGGAATCTTACGGGGTGTGGAGAAGAAATCTGTGCTTTAGAATGATCCGGATAAAGGAAGAGTCTCTTCAGGTACTTTGTTCAAAACTGTGCCCTGGCTGTGGTCAGTATAAATCCAGCACAGATAGTTTGAGAGTCTTAAACTCTTATATAATCAATATGTTAAACACTACTGACTCTTTACATTAGCACAATTAGCTACAACTCTGAATTATGTTGTTCTAATAAAAATGTTTATGAAGCTTTTATGGGAAGAAAAGATCCCCAAAGAAATATTTTCCCAGGCTCCTTCTGTTGGCATGAGTTTGAGGTTGAGTGTGGATAGGGAAAGGTTTCAGTTTGAGTCATTATTTTGAAATAAACTGGAAAAATATCCTGTGCTAAGCCCAAGCCCAATTCAACCTTTAAGATAGACTGATTGTTATTTCAATTTTTTGGTGTGTAATTATTTTATCCTCTTTGTTGTTTTAGTATGTTGTACACCTCATATCTTTTTTCCACTGAAATTACTGTGCATGTAAATCAAATGAATTCAAGAGAGTGAGTCTTTTCATTTATTTCTGCAAAACTTCCTGCAGAGGCATTCTCAGTGGAGAGCGCTACAACTTTCATGAAGTATTTGCCATAACATGCAGTTTCCTTGTTTTTCACAGTCTCTGTAGCCACTAGAAGAGTAAGAAAACTTGACTGGAACTGGTGTTGTATGCCTGCCCCCTTTAATTTAGGTCCTTAAAATGTCAGTTGTTACCTCTATCTTTTCAGTAGCAGTTGCCAATTACCACAGTGGCTGCTGGACCATGCTGGGACTATTTACAGCACTGATGTGGATTGGGAGACGTGGGGCTCTGGGTTTTGGGGAAAGGTGAGAAGGGCTGGGAACCACAAAGCTGCAGCCTCGCAGCAGCTAAGGCACTATGTGGGTCCAGGTGATATAAAAGAGACATCCTCAGCCTCATCTCCCAGATAAATCATGTCCAAATCCATGTCTCCAAGTTTCTACCCTCTGATTCACCCTAGCTCCACAGTTTATAGACCTTCTGGACCTAATTTTCCCATTCCCTTTGGACAAATGCAGTCATATCTAGAAATTTGCTGCGAAGCTCCCATTCAGCACGTAGTGTGTCACAGGTTACCTACCTGCTTTCGTGGGTTGCATTTCTTTAGTATGTGACATAGCAAAACCCAGTGGTTCTGACACAGTTTCATGGTTCTGCATCTGGGAACCAAGGTTTGACCTTGGCACAAAATACTCTGAGAAATGTTGTTAAGAACAGGAGGGATAATTTTGGGAATCGGTACCCTTGAGCCTTATGGAGACTTGTTCTCAGGACTTTTTTTCTGTGTTTTTTTCCCTTAAGTTTGCCCTTTTTATAAACTTGAGTCTGCTTTAAATTTATTCTAAAGTCTCTGGATTAGGTTTAATGTTGTTGTAGGATTTGATTTAGGCTTAAGAGTGTTTCTCTTGGTTTTGTTTTCTGTTTCTTTGGATTTCCCATTTGATTTTATTGTACAGCTAAATGTTTTTTAATGTTTTGCTATTTATTTAGCAAGATATCTCCTAGTCAGAAAGCTAATTTAAAAGGAAATATTGCAGACAGGGAGGGAAGTAAAGTGAAAAGAAGAATGAAAGGAAAGGCCGTCACTTTAATCGTCACTTTAAAATTCAATACCAAAATGATTCCGGCTCACCATTTCAGTTTCCCCTGCTGCAGGAGGTATTTAGTTCCCTCCCCAATATTCAATTCTTAATCTTACCATCTCTGCAACAGCTTTCAGAAATTAACTGATTAAAGAATGAAATAAAAAGTTGTGTGCCAACCATCCACCCACTTAGGGTACTGTCTGACTACAAATCAAAGAACAATAATAAACTTGGCAACTTTCTTCCGTTGTTCAAGTGCCAACAAGAGGGCTACTACAAAACAAATTTTGTATTTCATTTATTTTATTTGTAATTAGTTACCACTGAAACTTTTTTTTAAAGAATTAGCATAATGATATGTTCCCCCCTTTGTTCCTATGTGTTTACTAAAAACCTAATAAAAAAGATTACTAAGTAATACGTGCACTTTCCATTCAACTGATGTTCCTTTTGAGCTTTGCAGCACAGGCTTC